TATTATTATTATTATTATTATTATTATAAAGCCGCCATATCTCTAAAATTAGCTCAAAAGCTTGACTGTAAACTATTTTGGGACAATTTTCCAGCTTGAAAGACATAGATTTTCTCCATATATACTTTCGTAGGAGTGTGTATCTCTATCTGTATTTCTCTCTGTATGCATATATCTGGAATTATATAATCTATCCCCAACACTTCCAGATATATTTAATGATAATCCTTTGTATTGCTAAGGATTTGTGATTGACCAAAGTCAATAAGAAATTTTACCCAAATCAACAACTGAATTTGATTGAATGGATATTTGAACATGGAAGTCGGTAGTCTTCCATGTATCAGATGAATCATAAACAATGTAAGAGATTATGCTATCATTGTGGCATGTTTGCTGTTTCATTGTAATGTATACTTTTTTTCTTTTTTCAAACCTCTCACCATTTTATAAAAAATAAAGTTACACTTTTCTTTAAATCTTATAGAAAAGAGGATGGGAAGAAGAGCACTCTGTACAGCTAAGAATAACAAGCAACATTGAAAGGGAAATCAAACCGAGTCAGAAATCAAAATATTTTCCATTTCCTTTAGAAAACCACACAATTCTCCTCCAGCAGCTCTTAGAAAAAAAGAAAGAAAACCAAGAAAGATTTCAAACTGGAATAAGTAGATTATTCAGAAATCAAGGATTCATTACATGAAAAGTGAAGGGAGATTATTTTTCATTCAGTAAAAGAGAGAAATATCTGGAAGTCAGTTGGAGGAAAAGGTGAGTAGGAAAGTCACGTAGAGCAGAGAGTCATACAGGCCTCACACTGTGAGGAAGAGAACGACTTGAATGAAAGCACCACTAAACAAGGGATTATCCATATTTTTGACTTCTTCAAGAATATCAGCTGTGGAAAAGCTCCATAATTGTGTCTATTGTTAGAAAAGCGTAGATTGCAAATAACAACTGATTATGCACAAGAGGAGCCACACAGCAGAAAAGCCATACAAATCATCTGATTGTGGCAAAAGCTTTAGTCAAAACAGCTCCCTTGTGGTTCATGGAAAGACCCACACAAGAGAAAAGCCATAAAAGCACTCCTGGTGCAGTAAATGCTTTAGTGAGCATGGCAACGTGGTGATACATCAGAGGATTCACAGCAGAGAGAAAACGTATGACTACTGATTGTGCGAAAGTTTCATTACAAATTCCCATGTCATGAGGCACCAGAGGACTCACACAGGAGAGAAACCCTTTGAATGTCCTGATTGTGGGAAAAGTTTCAGTAAGAATTCCTGCCTTGTGAGACACCAGAGGACTCACACAGGAGAGAAATCCTTCGAATGTCCTGATTGTGGGAAAAGTTTCAGTGAGAATTCCTGCCTTGTGAGACACCAGAGGACTCACACAGGAGAGAAACCGTTTGAATGTGCTATCTGTGGGAAAAGTTTCATTTGCAATTCCCACCTGGTGACACACCAGAGGACTCACACAGGAGAAAAACCCTTTGAATGTCCTGAGTGTGGGAAAGGTTTCAGTCAGAATTCCCACCTGGTGACACACCAGAGGACTCATACAGGAGAAAAACCCTTTAACTGTCCTGATTGTGGGAAACATTTCAGTGATAAGTCCAGCATTGTGATACACCAGAGGACTCACACAGGAGAGAAACCCTTTGAATGTCCTGATTGTGGGAAAAGTTTCGGTCGCAATTCCTACCTGGTGACACACCAGAGGATTCACACAGGAGAGAAACCCTTTGAATGTCCTGATTGTGGGAAAGGTTTCTTTGAGAATTCCAGCCTTGTGAAACACCAGAGGACTCACACAGGAGAGAAACCGTATGAATGTCCTGATTGTGGGAAAAGATTCAGTGTGAATTCCAGCCTTGTGAAACACCAGAGGACTCACACAGGAGAGAAACCCTTTGAATGTCCTGATTGTGGGAAAGGTTTCAGTGAGAATTCCAGCGTTGTGAAACACCAGAGGACTCACACAGGAGAGAAGCCCTTTAAATGTCCTGATTGTGGAAGAAATTTCAGTCAGAATTCCAGCCTTGTGATACACCAGAGGACTCACACAGGAGAGAAACCATTTGAATGTCTTGATTGTGGGAAATGTTTCAGTCAGAATTCCAACCTTTTGAAACACCAGAGGACTCATACAGGAGAGAAACCCTTTCAATGTCCTGATTGTGGGAAAAGCTTCAGTGAGAATTCCAGCCTTGTGAAACACCAAAGGACTCACACAGAAGAGAAACCCTTTGAATGTCCTGATTGTGGGAAAAGTTTCAATCACAAGTGCAACCTGGTGGCACACCAGAGGACTCACACAGGAGAGAAACCCTTTGAATGTCCTGATTGTGGGAAACGTTTCAGTGATTATTCCACCCTTGTGATACACCAGAAGATTCACACAGGAGACAAACCCTTTGAATGTGCTCTCTGTGGGAAAAGTTTCATTCGCAATTCCCACCTGGTGATACACCAGAGGACTCACACAGGAGAGAAACCCTTTGAATGTGCTATCTGTGGGAAACGTTTCTGTGGGAATTCCAGCCTTGTGAAACACCAGAGGACTCACACAGTGGAGAAATCTTTCAAATGTCCAGTCTGTGGACATTACTTCACTCATAAATCATCCCTTATTGCACACAAGAAAATCCACATGAGGCAAAAGTTGAAGAGTTTAGAAAAGGCTTGAAAATCATTTGTGATCTCCCATTGAAACTGTAGCTGAGAAATTGACTATTTGAATTGTGGTCTGAATCTTTTTACTCAAACATGTCTTAGGACTAGACTTGTAGGTGGAGAGAAAAGGAAAATGGAAAAGGGCTAACTACCAATTTCTGGTTAGCAGCAGCAGCTACTGGATATTTCCTTTTGTAGAAGTTGTGGATTTCCTCAAAAAGGCTTCTGTGTGGTAGTTTTGTATATTGATTATATAATTCCCACATGGGGCGTTTCAGGTCTTCTACCTTGGTTTCCTCCAGATTTTGCGGCCCAGAATTCCTCAGCCAGCGTAGAAAAGGTCCTCAATATATAACTGTCATGGGCCTTGCAATTATGGTTGCACGTTGCAATGGCCATTAAGTGAGACTACTTTCCTAAACTACCCTGATCTCTCTGATGCAGCCATTAATTGAATGTGTCAGTCACTAAGTAGAACACTGGCTTGGGAAAACTCTTGGAAGAAAACTCTTGGAGGCCTAGTGCAGGCCCAGGTTTGCCTGTTGTAGGCATCTCTAGGCCTCCCCCACCCTGTGCTCTGTTTCCCAACCCTTGTGC